GGATTTTTATCCCTAATACCTCTTCGAGATGATGACTCTTTGAACGTCAATCTTGGAATGTTTAGACAAGGATCGATGGGCCAGCTTAGACGGTAAAGAGAATGTTCTATTTATCAGGTATAAAGAAATCATTGAGGAACCTCTTCTTTAAGTCAATAGACTCGCTGAGTTCTTGAACTGTCCATTCACCAAGGAGGGGAAAAAGAGAGTGGGTCGGTGGAGGAAATCTTGAGCCTGTGTAGTATGAGCAACTTGGAGACTAATAAGAACGGGACAACAGCAATTGGTGTAGATACTGATGATTTACATGAGGACAGGTGAAGTTGGTGACTCGAAGAATCATATCAAATGACGAAAACGATTGATGAGATCTTGAAAGTGACAGTTATATGAAGGAGGACTTTTTGTGGGTTTTGTTAATAGAACAAGAATTACATGATACCTTAATAACACCTTTGAAGTAGACAATACAACCAGAAGGAGATTCACGTATGTCCAGTCTCACGCGGAGGAAGTAACAACTAACAAGTCCTATGGACTGATCATGCTTAGTCACCAGTCATGGAATTCTTTCACACGTGTTTCAATCAAACAACCAAAATCAAACTGTCTCTCCTCCAACCACTTCTTTTTTACGGAATGTTTAAGAGATTTATTTAAGCCACGAACATTCCAAAAGAAGCCCGACATATTAGTGTTTTTTGGAGATACGTTTCTTGCTAGTACCACTTGGCTTTGAGGCCTTTGTGGTAGCAGTTGAGAGTGTATGCGTTTCTCCACTCTCGCTGATTGGATCGATTTTGGAGTCTTTCCTTCTCGAGTAGAAAGTTCTTTTCCACCATCAGGAATCAGTATCTCACTCTTCAATATCATCAGCGCTGCCTGTTTGGTCACCCTCGCTCTCATGAGCAGTGACTTGATCATCCTCTTCTTCAGCTAGTAACTGAAATCTTGACGGAGAGATCACTGTTTCTGAATCTTGCTTCTTGTCAGGTACCCTTCCTGCTTTCCCCGGAGTGACATTAGACCAGTCCTTATCTGTTTCAACTATGGTTCCAACAGTTTCCTCTGTTGCCACTCTGTTTTCATCAGTTTCACTGGATTGCTTATTTGCACTACTCGTGTTTCCACTTTGGGTCGAGTCCGAAAGAGTTGGAGCCTCTGCTTCAGATACTTCGACGGTTTTCACCGCGTCAATCCCGTCTTTAATTTCCCCTTCTGTTATCTTTCCTGCCACTGTCTCTATCTCTTTTGAATTGGTAACATTTTCTTTTCTTTATTCCACACTTTTCTCCATAACTTCGTCTTTCTTATTTGAACACCCCTTCTCATTGTGACCCCATTTCCCACAAAGAGAACATTTTGTAGGAACCCATGGATAGCTGGACTCAATATTTGCATTTATTCCAGATTTAGAACGGAATCTGTATGCACAAGGAAGTGGCTTTTTCACGTTTTCATTGACAAAGACCTTTGCCTCCTCGAAACTAGAACAGAGCTCTGTCCCAGGATGCAATTGTACAGGCTTCCCAACTGAGCTAGCGATGAACCCTAATCCCTTCCACGAAAACATAGTATGTGGCACATTCTTCATTGTTACCCACATAGGTACAGTCTTAACCTCTTCTCCTTCCTCCTTTTTCTCTTCCAATGGCGCCCACTTTGACAGGATCATTGGAATGCCCAGTATATTTCACATTCCTCGCTTCAAAATACAACTCCTTGTTTGTTGATCGGTAATCCGAAACTTTACTATTTTTTCATTAACCGCAAAACATCAATCTTAATGTTTTTGTTCCCCAATGACCATATCTTCTTAACGATAATATCAATCCTTGCCACATGAGGAGCAGGATCCAGTAATCTCCCTTCCATAAAATCCTCCCACAAAGGAACTGTGTTAACAAGTAGATTATCCGGTATCTCTACCATCTATGTCCCCTCCACGACCTCTACTTTCACCTCATGATTCTCCAAAACATGTTTTTTTTTCTGAACCGCCTTTACGTACGATTTTCTCCCAAACTGCGCTCCCTAACTTGTAATCCCCACATCCCATCGGAGGAGAATCCTCAGTCGTCGGCGTCGCCATTAAGTGAGCCAAGCAGCCGTCACTACCTTGTACAAACTAGCAAGGCTTTAGTCAATATATATATAGCAAGGCTTTAGTCAATTCATAATGTGGGCATGTACTAAACGTTTGGTGTCTACACTACACAAGCATAGATTTTTTTAAATCACTATCTAAAATAAATTACATTCCTATTTTAGTAACATCCTTAAATTTTTGAACTAGTTATTGCTTGACAATCTCTAAGTTTTCATGAATATGTTTAATGAATTATATTCTTTAAGATTAGGAAAACCGTTTTTTTTTTTTTTACAAATAATGAAAAAAGGAAAAGAAACATCAAATTCTTAAAACTGTATAAATACAAAAATTAATAAGTTGTAAATTATTTATCCCCACAAACACCAAAAAAAAACAATATTTGTTCAGTCGAATTTCTCTCTAAATTTTCTAATTACTGTTTGTTCACAGCAACAGCATTTACCAAAGCACATTCCTATTTTAGTAACATCCTTAAATTTTTGAACTAGTTATTGCTCTACAATCTCTAAATTTTCATGAATATGTTTAATGAATTATATTCTTTAAGATTAGGAAAATCGTTTTTTTTTTACAAATAATGAAAAATTAGAAACATCAAATTCTTAAAACTGTATAAATACAAAAATTAATGAGTTGTAAATTATTTATCCCCACAAACACCAAAAAAAAAAAACAATATTTGTTCAGTGGAATTTCTCTCTTATAAATTTTTTAATTACCGTTTGTTCACAGCAACAGCATTTACCAAAAGCACAAATTAATGAGTTGTAAATTATTTATCCCCACAAAGACCCAAAAAAAACAAAATTTGTTCAATTTCTCTCTAAATTTTTTAATTACCGTTTGTTCACAGCAACAGCATTTACAAAAAGCACAACTCAGCTCTTCTTATACTGGTGGAGGAGCTTTAACCTAAAAGCAACAACTAACCATGACCATAGGTAGAGGTAGAGTTAATCCTTGGTACGTACCATAACCAGAGTTAAACCCTGCACCTTTTTTCACCAGCAATGCTTTCTTTGTCTCATCTGCACCTGTAACAAACATGTAAAGAGAGCGAGATCACGTGGGTCAACGGTTTTAGACTTGTCCTTGAAACTCTCTGTCTTCGTCCAAGGCACTTGTTTTTCCTCTTCAAATACAAAGTCTCTTCATTTTCTTATGGTGAAGCTCCATTTCATTAACAAACAGCTCTTGGTATTCAAACCAACTCACACACGCATTACTTTTTGATATATAGTAAGGTTTGTGTACACTCTAATGATCGTTTGATTAACAATGTATGCATGTACTAAACACTTGGTGTCTACACTACACGAGCATAGATTTTTTTTTAAATAACTATCTAAAATAAATTGTATTCCTATTTTAGTAATCTTAACATCTTTAAATTTTTGAATTAGTTATTGCTACAAATATCTAAGTTTTCATGAATATATTAAAATTTCATTTCCCTTTTTAACAAAATATATTTCTTAAGATTAGGAAAACCATATTTTACAAATAATGAAAAAAGGAAAAGAAACCACAAAATTTTATAACTGTATAAATACAAATTTAATGAGTTCTAAATTAATTAGGTTAATTATCCCCACGTCGCACCAAAAAAGTCGCACAAAAAAAATTCTTTACTCCCACAAAAACCATAAAAATTTTCTTTTGTTTCAGTCTAATTTCTCTCTAAATTTTTTTAGCTCCCGTTTGTTCACAGCAACAACTGTTAAGCTAGATGAACTTTCAACCTAAAACCAATTGATGATAATTCGAGTGGTCTATCCATTTTATATATTACTAAGGATTCCTTCCAATATCCGATGTGGGATCTTTATCTCTAATACGCCTCTTCGAGATGATGATTCTTTGAACGTCAATCTTGGAATGTTTAGACAAGGATCGATGGGCCAGCTTAGACGGTAAAGAGAATGTTCTATTTATCAGGTATAAAGAAATCATTGAGGAACCTCTTCTTTAAGTCAATAGGCTCGCTGAGTTCTTGAACTGTCCATTCACCAAGGAGGGAAAAAGAGAGTGGGTCGGTGGAGGAAATCTTGAGCCTGTGTAGTATGAGCAACTTGGAGACTAATAAGAACGGGACAACAGCAATTGGTGTAGATACTGATGAGTTATTGAGGACAGGTGAAGTTGGAGACTCGAAGAATCATATCAAATGACGAAAACGATTGATGAGATCTTGAAAGTGACAGTTATATGAAGGAGGACTTTTTGTGGGTTTTGTTAATAGAACAAGAATTACATGATATCTTAATAACACTTTTGAAGTAAACAATACAACCAGAAGGAGATTCACGTATGTCCAGTCTCATGCGGAGAAAGTAACAACTAGCAAGTCCTATGGACTGATCACGCTTAGTCATCAAAATACATCCTTTCCAGTGATTTTTGTACTTGTTCGTTGATTTATCACTTGTTTCTTGAAGGTTATTTGATATGAGTAAAGGTTTATGCCAAAACAAAATATGAATTACAAAGAGACAAGACTATCACAATTTATATGGCCCAGAAACGCGTACCACATGGTGGTACTCTTATATGGCAGATGCGTGAGTTCAACACAGAAGATAGTTGAACAACACAACGACTTATAGTCATCTGCTTGTTAATATATACAGAATTGAACCACAGGGTGAGTGAGCCAATGATCAAAAGCAGACATAAAATTTCAGTGAAAAAAGCCATGTTCTTGGCATTGAATTTTCATAGGTGGTTAAGTCTTGAGGGGATTATTACAAACACAAGCAAGGTTATTAATTATTACAAACTACACCTCCGGGATTCTAAGTTATTACCATACCACTACCATATAAGACAAACGGGTTCGGGCTAAACTACTGCTTCCTTCACTTGCGGTTTACCATCTTGATATGGATCAAGTATCAAAAGCCTTGCCGCTGGTGGAACGTTCACTTTTTGCTATGATTATTTGATTCATCTAAAAAAAAAAAACAAAAAAACCGTGTTAAATAAATAAGAAGAAGCTATATACTATTTTGTACTATTTGATTAATGAACAATCAAATCAAATCACCTTATACATTGCTGCAGACATAACAGCGTAAGCAGCAGCGTAGGAGAGTAGGTGTGGAGGTCGGACTTTCAAGCCGCGTGTCACCAAAGGGTATGCCAACCCAGCACCTGATCCTAAGAGCAATCTGCAAGAAGTTGTCAAAACCCAAATGATCAGAAAAAAACAATAAAACAGGGTTTCATCAAAATCAAATATCAGAACTAAATATATGTGCATTAAAAAAAAAAGTAAATATATGTTTGGAAAGGAATGAAACTTTTACCGAGACTTAAGGTCATCGTTGCCTCTCAGCAGGGAATTGATACCAAACCCTGAAGCGCTAATTGCTGCGCACTCCCGAGCAAACAAACCAGCAAACTGATTCACCGAAAGAAACCATATTTTTTTTCTTTTGTTAGAAAAATGGAAAAAAAAAAAGGGTTTTAAAGGGGTTTATGAACAAAACCTGATCTCGAGTCAGTGGTGGGGCTAGGACTCGAAAGTGACGGAACACTGAGGGCATAAGCATTCCTACCACACCGCCGGGAAGAGCTCCGACGACAGCGCCATATGCGGTAGCGACGAGGGGTTCACAATCTATCGTAATTGTTCCTTCGCTTCTCATTTTCTCTCTCTTTTTTGCCTTTTTTATTAAATCGTCGAGCACACACACAGAGCTCTTCTTATACAGATGGAGCTTTAACCTAAAGCAAAAACAAAGCATAACCATAGTAGGAGAGGTAGAGAGTTAATCCTTAACTAGAGTAAAACCTTGCACTTTTTCACCAGCAATGCTTTCTTTGTCTCATCTGCACCTGTAACAAACATCTGCATCTGTCATCATTTCTTGTACATGACCTTTACTTAATAATTATAATATTTTAGTAGTTTATATACATATATAGTGAAGGTATTATGATATATTTAGTAAAGAAAGAGAGCAAGATATTTATCAAAAGAAAGAAAAAAAATATTTTCAAAGCACTTAAACTTGTGCTCTAGGAAATGGTTGTGCAGAGTCGTATATTGTACACAAAGTTAATTATGGCCGTACGTCTAACTGCATCATCTGAGTCGTCCGATGAAGATCCACACCTGGCTGGATTTACTTACACTATATATTTAAGATAGTTATAAATCTGTGAGGTTTTCAATTTAGTTGTACTACATTAAAATGTTTTAGTTTATTTTCTTTTATTATGATGTTATACAATATTGTAAATAACTTTTAGCTCAATGTTACGAACTTACATCTGGATCATAATCTCAAGCAAATCATTTTAGGAGATAGATTGGCTTCTTAGATTTGAATCCGAATACTCTGAAATTTTTGAATATGTGATCTAATAAGTCTACGTACCATTAGTGTATCCACTACAAGAAAAATGGACATTCTTAGCGCAAGTTTTATGTTATGGTAGATGTATGATAGCGAATTCATAAATGCTATGTATACGGCAGCAATCATAGGTACCCTTTTTATAATAGCATTTTTTTAAATGCTATGAAATATACAGATACAATAGCAATACTCGAATGCTGTTATTAATTTATCTATAGCACTATTTTTTTGCTACAAAATGATTACGATTCATATATTTGTGTTATAATAGGTCATTTTATAATAAAATGAATTATAATTAAAAAGAATTATAATTAAAAAATAATAATTGAAAATTAAATCAAAAATTCTTTTATAATTAAAATAAATAAATTTTATTTATAACTAAAATTGCTTTACATATTTATTCTGGTTTACCTAACTAAACTAGAAATTAAAATAAAATCAAACCACTACAATTTTCCTATCTTGGTTTACACTAAACCAAATTAAAAAAGAAAAAAACCTAAACCTAAAAACAAAAAGAGACTCCAGCCGCCTTGATTTTCTGTCTCCTCCAGCCTCTGGCTCTGTCTTCTCTCCGACCACCTCTTAGCCTCCGGATCTGTTCTCTCTGCCTCAACCCTGAACATAGAACAATCCAAAGTAGCAGACTTTAACAACTACAAATACCACTACAATCCAACAATGTTAAGAGATGAAGAGAAGTAAAAAGAAGTGAGAGGAGGGGGAAGAGAGACCTCGGAGATGGAACAGAAGAGAGACCTCCAGTCACCTCGTCTCTCACGCCTCTTGTGCATCCTCCACCTTCCTTTACCAAAAAAACAAATCAAAATCAGTTTTAAAGGAGAGAAAGAGAGAGGGAGAGAGCACTACAAGATCCGTAGAGAGAGAGAGAGAGAGATGGCAGAGATGGCGGATGGTGGTGGTGGTGGTGAGGAGGTCAACGTGATGGTGGGTGGTGGTGGTGAGAGAGAGAGAGATGGCGGGTGGTGGTGGTGGTGAGAGAGAGAGATGGTGGGTGGTGGTGGTGAGAGAGATGGCGGGTGGTGGTGGTGAGAAAGAGAGATGGCGGGTGGTGGTGGTGGTGAGAGAGAGAGAGATGGCAGGTGGTGGTTATGGTGAGAAGGAGGCGTGAGAGAGAGAGATTTGTGTTTTAGGTTAAGAATTATTATCCTTGTATATAGAAATTAACCAATAAGAAAGAAGGTAGAGGATAACCAAGTGATGGATTTGTAACCCTTAGATTAAATTTACTGATGGATTCACAACCCTTGGATTAAAACAATTGATGGTTAGTTATTTATTTCTGATGGTTAAAGTATATTTATATTGAACTGTATTTTTTTGATAAAATATTAAACTTGTATGTTTGATTTTGAAAAGTTTTAAATTTAGATTTTATAGTTAAAAAAGAAAATTATGATTAAGAGTAAATTTTAGATTTATGATTTAAGATTTGAATGTTGGAATATGAGATTTATGGTAGGATTTAAGATTTTGGATTAGAGTATGAAAATATTAGATTTGAATATTGGGTTTAAGATTTGTAGTTAATTTTTTTTAATAATTTAGTTTGAAGTTTATATTTGGAGTATTGTATGTATAGTAAACTTGAATGTATGGAATATAATATTTTTAGGAACGTGAATTGGGTAAAGATAAGATCTAAAAATAAATTTTAGTGTTTTAAATTTTAAAATAAGATTTGATGTTTAGATTTATGATTTAAGGTATAGGGTTTAAGTTTATAGTTTAGGGTTTGGTATATAGTATTTGGGGTTTAAATAATGATTTAAAATTAAATTATGAATTTAAATTTAAGATTTAAGTTAAATTATGAAAAAGAATATAGTTTCAAGGTTTATATTAAGGGGTTGGGGTTTAAAAGCATTTTAGGGTTTAGGGTTTCAAGCATGTACAAAAAATGTGGTAAACCATGGCATTTTGTGGCTATCTATATTATAATAGTACACTTTCTATGCTCCACAACGCGCCACGTCAGCAATTTTGTGGGTCCCATAGGTATTTTTAAAAAACTTATAGTCTTGGTAAGATGATTACAAACAATGAAATACACTTTAGCCAAGTGGTATAAGGTGTCTAATTAAGCATGCAAGATCGTGAGTTCAAACCACGCAGCCATCATATTTTTGATTTTTTTATTTAGGTTATTATCATATGGGCTTTTTGTTTGTAAAGTTTTTATGTTTTTTTTATGACTTATTGTTTTAAAGATCAAAATAGTTGGATAAACCCTAAAGCTTAACGAGTTCAAACTAAAAATAGTTAAAAATGGATGCAAAAACGAACAATAAAAAAACAAAAAAAAAACAAGTCTCATGCGATTGCCTACGCGGATGGCTTAAAGAGCCTTAAAGCTATCCTATTATAATATATAGTTCAACCCAAAAATAATAAAAATGAATCCAAAAACGAACCGACCAAAAAAAAAAGTGAATCCCACGCGGCTACCTACGTGGATGGCTTAATGAGGCTTGAATAATATAGATTAAGAGCTCAAAAAGTGAAATCATTGCTCATATTTCCTAATATATATGTTCAAAAAATTATAATAGTACACTTTCTAGGCTCCACAACGCGCCACGTCAGCAGTTTTGTGGGTCCCATAGGTATTTTTAAAAAACTTATAGTCTTGGTAAGATGATTACAAACAATGAAATACACTTTAGCCAAGTGGTATAAGGTGTCTAATTAAGCATGCAAGATCGTGGGTTCAAACCACGCAGCCATCATTTATTTTTGATTTTTTTATTTGGGTTATTATCATATGGGCTTTTTGTTTGTAAAGTTTTTATGTTTTTTTTTATGACTTATTGTTTTAAAGATCAAAATAGTTGGATAAACCCTAAAGCTTAACGAGTTCAAACTAAAAATAGTTAAAAATGGATGCAAAAACGAACAATAAAAAAACAAAAAAAAAAACAAGTCTCACGCGGTTGCCTACGCGGATGGCTTAAAGAGCCTTAAAGCTATCCTATTATAATATATAGTTCAACCCAAAAATAATAAAAATGAATCCAAAAACGAACCGACCAAAAAAAAAAAAGTGAATCCCACGCGGCTACCTACGTGGATGGCTTAATGAGGCTTGAATAATATAGATTAAGAGCTCAAAAAGTGAAATCATTGCACATATTTCCTAATATATATTTTCAAAAAATTTGTATGTGAGATAAAATAAAAAAACAAGAAAAATTAATTATTTTCGTTATTTATTTAATGAATATGTAATTTCTCTTACATTTTAATAACTACTATAATTTCATTGAAAACATTCCTCACCACCGATTTCAGACTCCCGCGAATGGATTCCCACACTCAATGACGCCGTAAATAAAAATGCCACATCATATATGAATAAAACTCAAACTTACAAAAAAACATATATAAAAACCTATCTAATGAAACTTAAACAACGAATGTTAACTTAATTAAGGTTATTTTCAAATTGATATATCGTTTAATACAAATATAAATACTATAAATATAGAATTATATCAAGTTTTGACCTACAATATAAAAACTATTTACAGCAAAAACAAAACACCTACTTTTACACACTAAAAACTATTTTATAGCCTAACTATTCCTATAAACTTACTTCGCATATAAATAACATTTAACTCATTCCTAATATATTTTCAAAAAAATTTTATGTGAAATAAAATAAAATAAACAACAAAATTTAAGTTTCTCTTACATTTTAATAACTATTATAATTTCATTGAAAACATTCCTTACCACCGACTATAGACTTCGGCGAATGGATTCCTCGATGACGCCGTAGAGAAAAATGCCCATCATTTATGAACAAAACCCAAACTTACAAAAAACCATATATAAAAACCTATCTAATGAAACTTAAACAAAAAAATATTAACTTAATTAAGGTTATTTTTAAATTGATAAATCGTTTAATACAAATATAAATCTGTAAATATAGAATTATATCAAGTTTTGACATACGATATAAAAACTATTTACAGCAAAAAAAAAAAAAATAGACACCTACTTTTACACACTAAAAACTATATTATAAGCTAACTGTTCCTATAAACCTTACTTCGCATATAAATAACATTTAACACATTAGATATACAATATTTTTACTTTACACTCTTACTACATTCTTTCCATTTCATTAATATTTGGTGTCATTAGAAGAATCCACTAAACCACTAAATCAAAAAAAAATATAAGCAAACATAATGATTCCGACCCCGCGCTTGCGCGGGGAGTATGCAACTAGTTTTATAAAG